TGTCTCTCCTCCTTTCTCTGTCACTCTGTCTTTCCAACAAATAAATCTTTTTTTTAAGAAACAGTAATTGATAGACTAAGGCTACATTTCTAGGGCCAACACTCTTCCTGACCGTGTGGCCCCTTTGTATGGCATTTCACTGCTGTCCACTTCAGCATGATCAGTCCTTAGATTTGAAGTGAGTTTGCTCGCGTCTAACCCATTGGTCTAAGTGCACACGGAAAACCCTTCACACAAGGCCTGGGTCAGAGTGGGAACTCACCAGGCCATAGGCATCACCACTGAGCTCACTGGGCTGCTGGCTCTCCTGCCCAGGAAGCAGCGGGGCCTTCCCAGGGGAAGCACAGAGTCTTGACCATTGCAGGCATCACTGGGGATCAAGGTGAGTTCTGGGTGTGTCAACGAGGGGAGGAAGGCTAAGGGAGTCCACTATTAGAAAGAATCTTGGGGCTAGCACCATGGCACAGTGGGTTAAAGCCCCGGCCTGCAGTGCTGGCATCCCCTGTGGGCGCCAGTTCAAGTCCCAGCTACTCCACTTCCGATCCAGCTCTCTGCTATAGCCTGGGAAAGCAGTAGAAGATGGCCCAAGTGCTTGGGCCCCTGCACCCACGTGGGAGACCAGGAGGAAGCTCCTGGCTCCTGGCTTCGGGTTGGCTCAGCTCCAGCCGTTGTGGCCATCTGGGGAATGAACCAGCAGATGGAAGACCTCTCTTTCTCTCTGCCTCTGCCTCTTTGTTTAACTCTGCCTTTCAAATAAATAAATAAATCTTTAAAAATAAAGAAAGAATCTTGTTCTGCAGCCAGAGAGGGAGCGACCTTCTTGCTTAAGGTACAAAAGGGCCGGTGTAGCCAATACAAAGCCCATCTTTCCCAAGGTACCTCAGCCCCCTGAAGCCTGGAAGATATTGGCTAGCAGGCTCAGGGCACCCCTGGGAGAGCACAGATCCAATCAGATCCCTTGGGAAGAGATCTCAGAGATAAGGAGTGGCTGCAATCCACCAAGGTCACCGCCCCTTGCCCAAGAGCCCATCTTGGTAGGATGGGGGGCGGGGGGACCCTGAAGGAGGGGAAGGGCTAGAGCCGCCGTTTGAAGAATTGTGTTTGTTTCTCATCACTTTCCTCTCAGAGCTGCAGAGCACCTGCCAAGACACAAAGAGCAGAAGTTCTCTGGGTTTGAAAGCCACAGTCAACTCTCAAGGCCGCCAGCTTCACAGCTTAGAAAAGTTTACTGGAAAGAATGGAAAGTGCTTTGAACATCCAGGTAGAGAGAGAAAGAGAGAGAGAGAGAGAGAGAGAGAGAGAGAGAGAGAGAGTCTTCCATCCGCTGGTTCACTCCCCAGATGGCCGAAACGGCCAGAGCTGCACTGATCCAACGCCAGGAACTGTGCATTGCATCTCTGGCCTCCACCTGCCCTTACAATACCCAAAATTTGCCAGACTAGGGGGAGGGATGCAGAACCATACCCCCCTTGAGAACCGCTATTGTACACACAAGGAAATCAAGCATGGAACCGGCAGTAGGGGAAGAGGCAACTGTGGATGGTGTTTGATTACTGCAGAAAGATCTCGGAGGGCTGTGGAAGTTCAACGGGCACAGGTGCAGCCCCTGTCATCATTCTAGCCGGAGGACTGTCATGTCCACAGCTGGGAGTCCCCTGCATGGTAGGCACTTGGGGAGGCAGGGAAGTGGGACACGGACGAGCTAGAGCCACCTACTGTCACTAGCACGTGCTATATCCCTTGCTGATGAGAGGGCCTGAGCTCAGCACAGGGTGTGTGAGTTGGCCAGCAACCTTTCTTCTCAAGAAGCCTAATTGTATAAGAATGTATCCCAGAATTGCACATCCACCCAGGCTTGCTCTCGCTGTAAGGAAACAGGCCATCCAGGGAGCTGTCAGCTGCCTGTCATTTTCCAAAGCAACTTATGGATCACAAAACAATCCCGTGGGAGTGGCGGGCGTCCGGCCCAGGAGTGAAGTTGCCCATCAGGATCCCTGGGGCCCAGGGCAGATGCTTGGGGTTGAAACCCAACTCCTGCTCCTGACTCCAGCTTCTCACCCATGCAGAGCCTTGGAGGCAGCTGAGATGGCTCAAGTCCCTGGGTCCCTGTCACCCACATAGGAGACCCGGACTAAGTTCCCAGCTCCTGGCTTCAGTGAGGGCATTTCACAAATGAACCAGTAGTTGGGAGTTCTCCCTTTATCTGGCTCTCAAAGAAATACTTAAATCCCAATGAATGGGTAAGGGCCCATGAGAAACAACTCGTCCAAGCTTCCGGTTTTACTTGCATTGCCTCTAACCATTCACTTAAAGTAGAAAAGCAATGCTACACGACTAAAGAAAGTGAGTGTACAAAGAATCTGGGATACATTCTAGATGTTTCCAGGCAAGTGAGAGAAAGCAGGGATTGGATTTGGTGACACCTGTCCTCGCCAAGCCTCAGCTGACCTCCAGTCCCTGATGGAGCGGCGAGGGGTGTGAACGCCGCCTGGGAACTTTCCAGAACTGAAGACGATGCCAGAAATTTTCCAAGCAAGGCCACCCCTTCCTCCCCTCCCACCCGAAGGCCCATCCACTGCCTTTAGCAGCATCACGTAAAACAAAACCTACATAGGCAATGAATAAATAAATGTTCAGAGAAATTTAAAAAATGAACACAAAGTGGGAAAAAGAGGGACCGCTCCCCCCCCATATATTACGGCAGTAGTCTTTTCTCTGGATTCACCTGCTAAGATTAAAATAAACATCGGCCCTATTCCCACGGACAGCAGCTTCCAGCATCAGCCGGGCCGGCAAGAGTTGGCTGGGAATCCCAGTAGCCGGTCTGGTCATTCCTAAATACTCCGTAGGAGAGGGAGTTCAGGGCGAGAGAAAGCCCCACAGCCAAGGAGCAGGTGCAGCCTGCCAAAAGCAAACAAAAACTCCCCTGGAGCAACAACAAACAGTTAACACCCGCAGCCTGTCAACACCAATTAGCCGGCCCGACTGGCAGAAGCCCATTAGGACCAGTGCTCAGATCCAGCAAGGTCCTCAACGGCAGAAGCCATCATTCCCATGGCCACCGGGCTTTCCCAAGGAGGCGGCACTCGGAGAAACTCACCACCCAGCCCAGGCCAGCTTCACCAGTCCACGGAGTAGGCACAGGGCCTTCCACCCGCTCTGGGATCAGGGTCCACGCAGCTCTGTAATAGGATTTTCCTGGGCCCCTATAATATCTGCCTTAAAATTCATTTCTGGTATAACCTTAACTACCTTAATAGTATTATCTTCATGTTAGGCCACATTTAATAGGTTTGGGGCATGCTGGAGATTAAAACTTTTCCTTTGAATATTCCCCCCCCCCTTTTTTTTGTCTTTCTAATTTTAAAGGGAATCAAACATTCTCTTGGGGCCTATGCACTGTGCTTTCTGTGGCTAATCCCAGATCCAACAGATACTGGCAATTCTTAAAAAGCACCATTCGTCCAGTGAAACATCTTTCTGGCCTCTTTTCCAAGTCCCTCTACTTGACGGAAGACTCCAAATAGGATACACCTGGAAGTTATGCTGGGGACTTCAAACGCTTCAGGGAAAAACAGAATTAAAAGGTGAAGTTTACTTTGGTGCAAAAAGCTTGGAAATCCATGCCTGGGAGTCACACAGGGTGATTTCACAAGGTGCATCTCCCAGGAATTTTCTGAAGGCCCCTGGTATATTTCAACATGTCCCTCCCTGCGCAGTTATAGGTGCAGTTATAGGTCCGAGAAGCTTTTTTTTAAAAAAAAATCAACTCAGCACACCACATAGATTTTCTTCAATATTTTATTTATATAGAAATACTTAAAAAATGAAGTAGCACCATTACTTAAGTTTTACCTTTATTATGTAGAACTTTAAATGTCAGAAAAATAAAACTCTTGATACAATTTCAAATCTTGTCTCAGCAAATATAATATTAGTATTTGACCATGAGGTTAAAGGCCCTTTATCATAAAATAAAATATACTTTGTTTTTTTTTAAACTTTGCTCAGTAAGTACATTTAAGCTCAAGTAACGTCACCTACATATACATAAACAAGTGGTAAACAAATGTATTAAAATAGAAATACTAAAACTATAGTGGTGCAACAGAATTTTTGTAACTTGCACTGAATTCCATTTATACAAATGTTAGAAAGCATCAACGGGTTCCTTTTGACAATGTTTATACATTTACTTTTTTTTGTAATAATATAGAATAAAATATGCTTTATATCACTGAATAGAAAATATGCTGGGTGAAGCAGACCTAGAAGATTTGTCTGAACCTATAAAATCTCCATCCCAACAAAATACTGTTCAAAACATTACACATTGTATGGTTTTGTAATTCCGTCACAATTGTGTGATTATTAAAATAATACAGTGCTCTTTGCCATAAGGCCATACTAAAATAAAAAGATTTAACCCAGCTACAAAAAAGTTCACTGAACTTAAATTAAAATACTTGTAAACATCTTTGCAATATGAAATATAATTTTTCAAGTCAAAAAAGAATAAAATACTTCAATCTGTATTAATTAATGCAATTTCTCTTTAAAACTTTTAAAGGTTTTTTTTTTTAATATATAAGAGATATGTTACAGTTTCTTTTTAACTTTAATAAAGCTGCAGTATCCTGGTTTCACAGGGACTCTTGGCCCGTCCACGGCCACTCAGAGAGGATCCGCCGTGTTCTGCAGTTAGCGCCGTGGGAGCCCGGCCGCGGGGGGCGTGCTCCCTGGTCCGCGCGCACCGGGGCGCCGGGGGTCGCTGTCGCCAGCCTGGCCGTCCGCCGCAGTGGTCCTTTCTTCCTACTCTAAGCAAGCGGAGAACTTGCGGGGTTTCCTTCGGTCGGAAGCTCCCCCTCGGGTACAGTGTAACAACTATCATCGCTAGCTTGTCGCTGTTCCTATTATTTATAGAGCATGCATGGCAGGTGGTTCGCGAGTTTCCCAGGGGACAGCACTCCCGACGCGCATCATCCTGGCAAGTTCCTCTGTGGGTTTTTTTTTTTTTTTTTAAATCCAATTTTAAAAAAGAGAGAGAGAGAAAGAGCAGATACCACAGCTCTCCCAGCTCCTCTCTCTCTCGGATCGCAGAGTGTGCGGGGACCGGGCAGGGCGCTGGGGGCTGCGGCTGCCCTGCGGTGCGCGCTGCAGGGGGCGCGCAGGGCCGGGCCGGGGGGAAGGGGGCGCGCCGCTTTCAGGAGAAGATGCGGATGGCCTGAGTGACCGCGGCGTGGCAGACCGGGCACTCGGGCTGGCTCTTCTCGCAGATGCGGTTGGCGCACTCCATGCAGAAGAGGTTGTGGCCGCAGGGCACCAGCGCGGCGATCACCTCGCTCTCGAAGCACACGGAGCAGTCGCGGCTGCCCTTGCGCCGCAGCCCCCCAGAGGACGACGACGACGAGCTGGACGAGGAGCTGGACGACGACGACGAGCCCGACGTGTCCGCCGGCTGCAGGCCGGGCAGCGGCGCCCCGAGCCCGTTGGCGTAGGCGGCGTAGGTCAGGCCGCCCCCGCCCGGGTCGCTGCGCACCCGGCGGGCCAGGTGGTGCTCGCCGGCCCCCGGCGCCATGTGCAGGGGCGGAGACAGGCGCGGGCAGCTGGCGCCCGGGTGCAGCCGGCGGTGCACCAGCAGCCCCAGGTTGGCGTTGGAGGGCGCGCCGGCGCCGGCGCCCGCCCCGGGGAAGACCACGGACGACGAGGAAGCGGACGATGAGGAAGCCGAGGACGAGCAGGAGGAGGATACGGGCGCCGCCGCCGCCGCGGGGCCGCCGCCAGGGGAGCGCTCGAACTGGGCCCAGAGGAGGGGCGCCCCGGGCGGGGGCGCGGGCGCCGGGTCGAAGGCGGGCTGCAGCTCGGCGGGACAGCCGTCGGGCGACGGCACGGAGGCCTCCCCGGCCGCGTAGGTGTACCCGTTGCCATTGTTGTTGTTGTTGCCGTTGTGCGCGAAGCTGAGCGCGGGGCTGGGGGGGCTGTAGTCAGCCAGGCGCGGGGTGGCGCCCGCGCTGCCGCCTCCGGTCCCGCCGCCGCCGAAGTAGGAGTCCGTGGAGGCGCTGCCCAGCGAGCTGGAGCTGTCGTTGCGGTAGCTGGAGAAGGGCTTGCGGCCGGGCGTGGGCGTGATGCTGGGCGTCGGCTTGCTCCATAGGCTGCCCGGGCCGGACCCGCCGGACCCGTGGTGGAGGTCGAAGCCCACGTCCGTGCCGTTGGCGTGGAAGTCGTTCTCGTCCGTGAGCTCGATGATGCCGCCGGTGCGCAGCGCGATGTGCGCCTCGATCTCCTCGCGGGCGCGGTCCACGTTCTCCGGCATGCCGGTCACCTCGAACACCGGCTCCTTGTCGCGGCTGGGCGTCACAATGTACGTGTGCGTCTGCTGCTGGATGCGCTTGATCGTGGCGCCCTTGGGCCCCACCACCAGCCCCACCACGCGGTAGGGCACCCGCACCTGGATGGTGGTCTGGCCCGGCAGGTTGGGCGGCCCCGGCACCGCGCCGTTGAGCGCCGTGTTCTTGTTGCGCGAGGCGCGGATCATGGAGAAGTGCTCGGCCGCGGAGATGATCTCTCTGCGGGCCATGGCCACATCCTCCTTCCTGCCCGTCACAACAAAGACAGGCTCCTCCCCGCGCACTGGGGTCTTGATGTAAGTGTTGGTCTTGGCCCGCAGCGCTTTGATTTTACAACCTGGGAGCCGGGGTGCAGGAGGTGGGGGTGGAAAAAGGGGGCGGGGGGTGGGGAAGGGGGAGAGAGAGAGAGGAGAGAGAGACACGCCCATTACCCCCGAGGTTACCGCGGGGGCCGGGGACCATTGGCGTCCAGGGCAGCGGGACCGCAGGACGCGCGCCGCGAGGCCAGGGGGCGTCTCCCTCCCTGACCCCGGGCTTGCGGGTTCCACCCGCGAGGCGCTCGAGGAACAGCCCATTGGCTGCCTGGCCCTCCCGTCCCCCCTCCCCACCCGGGGACTGCAGTCGTCCCAAGCCAAACCCGAGAATCCCAGAAAAAGTCATCTGGGGAGATGCCGCCGGGATCCAGCTGGGCGCGCCGTACGCCGAGCGGTTCGGGAGAGGCGGCTGCAGCGCGCTTTCTCGGCGGCGCGGGGGGACTTCGGGGGAGGGTGCGGGGCGGGGGAGCAGTCCCGGGACCCATTGTTCCTCCTCTGCTGTCCATTCCGTTTTGCACAAACCCAGAATCCTCCTCCCAGCCGGTGCTCACTCCTCCTCCTCTCCTCCTCCCCCATCCCCAAGGACCGATCCAAGGCCCCCTCCCCTCCCCCCCCAGCATCTTGTATTTAAATCCTCTTTCCCGGGGCGGGCTGGGTGGGGGGCGCTCGGGGAGAAGGCCGCGATTTCAGCGGCAGAAAGTGCGTCCCGCTGGGGCAGCGGCGCGGCTCCGGGCGGCAGCCTGCCCGCACTTTCTTTGTCTGGGCGCCGGCCCCGCGGCGCGGCACTCCCCTGCTCCCCGAGGCGCCCCCAGCGCCGCGGCTCCCAATCGCGCTCCCGCTCCCCCCCAACCCCGCCAGGCTGGTGGCCCCGGGGCCCCCCGCGCCCCGTCCCCGCCCGCCCGACCCACCTTGCCGCCCCACGATCTCGGCGACGTGCTCGGAACTGGGCACCGGCACGCACTCGGTCATGTTCACGCTCTTCTTGCGCGGCTCGCTGTCGTACAGAGGCGCGCCCTCGTCACTGTCCAGCCCCAGCAGGGAGAGCTGGTCCAGCGCGAGCTGCAGGGCTCGCTGGTCGTCCAGGGTCTCCCCGCCGCCGCCGCCGCCGCCGCCTCCCCCTCCGCCGCCTCCCCCTCCGCCGCCGCTGCCGTTGCGCTCCAGGTCGGCAAACAGCGAGCTGGGCATCGCGCGGCCGTGCGCGCCGCGCCCCCGCCGGCCCTGGTGGCTCGGCGGCCGGCAGCTGCGGCCACAAAGGCAGCCGGGAAGCGGGTGGTCAGAGGCGGGGAGGCCGGCCGGCTGCACAGGGCTCCGTGTCGCTCCTTCCTCGGCGCCGGGGAGGACCGGGTGGCCGCGCGCCGTCGGCACCGGGCAGCTGCTGCAGGAGCCCCCGCCTGGGTCCCCACCCCGGGTCTGCGGGCGGGCGGGCGGGGTGGGGGCAGAGCTCGAGCGGCGGCCGCGCGTGCCCCCCGAGCGCCCGGCTGGCTGGCCACAAAGCCGAGCGAAAAAGCGAGCCGGCGAGCGACAGCGGCGTTTCTTTAAGGAGCTCCTCCCCGGCTCCTCCACTCCCTCACGACCTCACGGCCCGCCCGCCCGCCCGATTTTCACCCTGCGCTGTTTCTCCTCTTCCTCCCCGCCTCTCCACGGAGCCTCTGCAGCCAGACGGCTCCGGAGGGGGACGCGGGAGGCGCAACGTCACCGGCGGGAGCTGACACTACAATGCCACTGACACTATCGCTGGGGGAGGCGATTGGCGCGCGCCGGGCCGGGGGCGGGCGGAGGCCGCGGGCAGAGCGAGCGGGGAGCGAGCGCCTCCCCCACGCCGCGCGCGCGCCGCGCCCCTCCCCCGCCGCCGCGAACGCCTCTCTTTGTTGTCTAATGCGGGACTGGCAGGCCCGGGACACTTGCGCGCACCTATCAGCCGAGGACAGCGCCGTCCCCAGTCTCCGCCCTCGCCGGGGAGCGAGGAGGAGACGCGTCCCCAACTCGGACGCGCAGGGCAGGGCTCTAGCAGAGCGGTCCTTAGGAAGTCCGTTAGTGCCACCCCCCTCCAAAAAAAAAAAAAATAGACCATCAGCGCAGCCAGAGCTGCCACCAGGCGAAGGGGCTGTCGCCTGCGCCAAGGCACGGCCCGAGACCCTAGGCACGGAAGACGGGACTCGCGATCGCCCGGGGTGCGCGGGCAGAGCGAGCCCCGGCGCGGGCTGCCCACCTGCGCGGGAGCGCACGCGACACAAAGGCTCACGCCCGCCCACGCGGTCCCCCGCGCGCGCCCGCGCCCACATGTCTGCCCGCTTTGGGCAGCGCTCTGTGCCTCGGCGCCTCGAAACTGCGGAGCCGAGAGCCACAGGCCGGCCGCAGCGCCAGCCCCACCCGCCAGCCAGCGGCGACCTCGGGAGTGCTGGGCACCCGGGTCCCGCACGCGCCCGGCCTAGACCCCCGCGGGCGCGCTGACACCGCGGGCGCGCCGGCCATAGCGCCAGCGGGCAGCGCGGCCGTGCGCGCCCGGGTCCCTCCCCTCTCGCCTCTGGCCGCCCCGCCCCTGCCCACGGCCGGGGCCTGCGCAGTGCGCGCCAGCAGCCGGAGGGCCCTTTAAGGCGGACGCCGCGGCGCGCGCGCCGGCCCCGCCCCGGGCCGCCGGGAGGTGTGCGCTCGCCGCCCGGCCGCTCTTTGTGCGCTCCTCGGAGTGGGGGTGGCGGCGGAGGGAGGGCGCGACGGGACCGGCCGGCGGGGACGGCGAGCTGCGCCCCCTCCCGGCCGTCCTGGGGCCCGCCTCCGAGCGCGCCCGAGAAGAAAGGCGGCTTTGAGGGGCGGGCCGGGGTGGGGCCCGCGGGGCCGCTCCGCGCGCATCGCCCCCTCCACCGGCCACGGAGCGGACGCCCCTGTGCGCCCCGCGCGCTCGTGCGCTCGCGCGCGCGCGCGCGCGTCTCTTCTTTGTTCCGGAGCCGGCTGGCTCGCCGCGCCCCGTGCGCCCCGCCGCGGGTCGCGCCTCCTTGGGACGCACGGCTACCGGGGACCGGGAGTCCCTGGGGCCGCGACCGTGGACTTCCTTGCTCGGGAGACCTCGTGTGGGGAGCGATCTCGGGGCGTGCTGGGGGCGGTGTCGCTCTCCGTGGGCGCGCGCCCCAAGCTTCGGCTTCTCACGCGCAAAGTGGGGGGCCCCAGGACCTGCCCTAGCCAGCCGCCGCGTGGTGGCTCCGGGGAGGCAGTGTGACAATAGCTGGGCGCGCGCTCTGGCGAACGCCTTCCCCTCGGGCGAGCAGGAAGGTGATCCCTGGGGACCGGCTCACCTGGCGCTGTCTCGGGGAGGAGGTGCTGATTCTAGGGGAAGCCGCTGCGAGTGGTTATTTAGCCAGGATGTGTCAGCTTCCTCGAGCCTGGTGTGTGTTTTTCCTGAAAGGGAGCGGTCCGGGGCGGGGAGGTGGGGAGGCGGGAGGGGTGTCCGAGCCCCTGGGGAAAGCCGTCGCCCCCTGGGGAGATCCCGAGTTGTGTTTTTGTTTTCACCTGTTTTATGGACTCCTTGGTTTGGGTTCGTGGAGGGCTGCGCTGAGGATTGCTTCCGGAACGGGGGGCTCCGACTGCAGGGTCCAGGCAGGGCCTGTGATGGGAAAGCAGACAAGAAAAAAAAAAAAACCCTGGGAAGCTCTGAGCTTTCGCATCTGGACAGCACAGCAGGCTGGCTGTTGGCCTCTCTGCTTTTTGCTTGCTTTTGAGTTTTTTTTTTTCTTTTTTTAAAGAAACGTAATAACCTCCAGATTTGGCCAACCGAGACTTCAGTTTCTGAATAACAGACACACTGGAGGTGAAGTTGATCCACAGCCCCTGAGGACGCAGCCACAGGTGGCCAGGGCCAGCCCCTCCCAGCAGCGTGCCTAGGAGGGCTTGGCCCACGAGTATTTTCAGACCCGCGCAGACTCCTTCCTCTGGAAGAGGGGTTCACTCCGAAATTGGCGTGGACTTGGAGGCTGCATGTGTCCAAGGAGCCCCTGGGGTTTCCTCGGCCAAGATGTTTCCTGTGCTCGCTGTCACTTCAAATGTGTGTTGAAAGCACAGGTGGAGCCTGGGTGAAGGGGAGGCACCCGGGAGGAAGCCAGAGAGGGTGAGGAGGGTGAGGCACTTCGGTGGCCCAGGTAGCCCAGGGCGCCCTCTGCACACTGCAGAGAGGTCAGCACAGCTCTGAAGACACGAGAGTGTGGGAGGGTGGCAGACACCAGACTGCTGAGTCCCCAGCGGCCCCTGGGCTTCTGCTTTGTTGAGAAAGAACAGGAGGCTGGCACTGTGGCATAGCCAGTAAAGCCACTGCCTGCAGTGCCGGCATCCCATATGGACGCCAGTTCGAGTCCCGGCTGCTCCACTTCTGATCCAGCTGTCTGCTATGGCCTGGGAAAGCAGTACAAGATGGCCCAGGTCCTTGGGCCCCTGCACCTGTGTGGGAGACCCAGAGGAAGCTCCTGGCTCCTGGCTTCGGATTGGCGCAGCTCCGGCTGTTGTGGCCAATTGGGGAGTGACCCAGTGGATGGAAGACCTCTCTATGCCTCTCCTCTCTCTGTGTAACTCTGACTTTCAAATAAATAAAAATAAATCTTAAAAAAAAATAGAGAAAGGTTAACTCATTGTAAACTGGGAAGCATAGGTCCCTGCGGGTCTACCTGCAGCTGCTTGCTAGCATTCAGTTCCACTGACTGGTCACGGTGTTTCTCAAACAGGGGAATACAGGAAGGCTTTCAAAACACTTATTTGAGTGGCAGAGGGACAGGGAGAGACAGATCATCTGCTGGTTCACTCCCCTCAATGGCCGCAACAGCTAGGGGTTGGCCAGGCTGAAGCCAGGAGCCTGGAACTCCATCTGGGCCTCCCACGTGGGTGGCACGGGTTGGTCCAGCCTGTTCTGCCGCTTTCCCAGGCCCATTAGCTTAGAGAGGAATTGGAAGTGGAGTAGTCCAGACTTTAACCAGGGCCGGTGACACCAGCAGCAGCTTAACCACTGGGCCACACCACTGGCCCTGCAGTCTAAACATTTAAATTCTCAATTAATGGCTTTAATAAACCAGGGCCTCATAAGACACCTGCTGAGTCCAGTTCTGTTTTTAAATAGATGAGACACCCTAACCCCAGGGTTTCTGTTGGACTTTCCCAGGCTCCTGGAGGACCCCAGCTCTTAACGACTTTTCCTGATAGAGACCTCTTTCCCTAAGGGCCTTTCTGTGTGGCCATGGGATTTTTTGATGAGCGCAGAGAGCAGCCTTCTCAGTGGGTCTGGTAATAAAATAGAGGATTTCAGCTATCATACAATAAAAAAAAAAAGGTAGTTATCACATCGCACAAAAGCAGGGTTTTCAGAGCTATCAGACTATTTTTGTAATTTGTGTTCATTTATTTGAAAGGCAGAGCGACAGAGAGAGGAAGATATATACGGGGGAGAGCGGAGAGAGAGAGCTTCCATCCACTGATTGACTCCCCCAGATGGCCACAGCAGCCTGGACTGGAACAGGCAGAAGCCAGGAGCCAGGAGCTTCCTCCAGGTCTCCCAAGTAGGTCCAGAGGCCCACCCTCTTGGACCCTCTTCCACTGCTTTCCCAGGCTGTGAGCAGGGAGCTGGACGGGAAGTGGAGCAGCCAGGACTTGAAGCAGTGCTCATAAGGCATACCAGTATCACGGCAGTGGCATAACCCACTGCACCACAATGCCAGCCCCTCATCTTGCTTACTTTTGCAGACTAGATAGCCAGCCAAAGAAATGAAGATCCTCACCTGAGAACAGACACGCTTAGAGCCGACTCATCTGGTGTTACTGAGCACCTATGCACTTTATTATAGGCACAGAGAAAAGCATTAGTGATACAGAAATGAGCCAGGCGGCAGGGGTTGGGGGGGGAAGGATGCCCTTGAACTAGAATTGTGTTCAAATCCAGCCTCTCAGGTCATAGCCAATCTTCCAGGACTCCTGGGGAGACGTCCCAAAGATGGGGGGCCTCTGAGTTGTGCTTCTGGGGCATGAAGAGGTGTGCGAATTACTTGAACCCGGTGCCTGGCAGAGAGCGTGGCATCCCACAGTGAATGAGCAAGCCAGGTTGAAAAGCCTTAAGGTATAATTTTCTTAAGTGTGTACATGAATAACTCAGTCTCTAGGGAGCAGCTCAAATGACTCCAGCCACAACTGCCTGATTTTGTGTAGAATTAGTCATCGCAGGTAATAGGAGGGAACTTTCAAAAGTTTGTGGGAATTGGAAATAAAAGTAAGCTTATTTTGGTGCAAAGCATTTTTGACATTGTGCAGGGTTTTTTTTAATATAATACGCATGAGTTTTTGAAGACCTCTTATATGCATGGATTTCAATCTTCTAATTGTGCTCCCCAAAAAAAACTTACCTTTTAATTCCATTTTGCTCATGCCAGGCAACTAACTAAATGCTTTACAGTCCAACATCTTGTTTCATCCTGATAACTACACCAAGGCAAGTATTTTAATAGAATTCCCATTTTACAGATGAAAATAAGGTAAGCCACCCAAGCAGAGGCAGACTTACTTTACACAGATAAAGCTTAAGCTACCAGATTCCTCATTCTTCCTGGGCCCTTCCAAGGCCCTGGGAG